TCTTGGGCTCGCCGGAGATAGTCGAGTTCTCCCAACCCTCGGCAGCCTTTTCGGCGGCGATCGGGTCAGCGTAAATAGTGGCCATGGACGGTGCCAAAGACATAAGACGAGAGAGGGCCTTGGAAGTCTGACCCTTGGCGCGGTTCTCCAAGAATCTGCCGAGTGTGACGAATGTAATCAACATAGTGCTAGTATCAAAGATAGTGGCGGGTCTCGTATGCGGCGGGAAGAGGAACGACACCAGCATGGCCATGATACTGAAGAAGAAGGCGCATGAGGTGCCGAGGATGACGAGAACGTCCATGGTCGGTGATCCGTGCTTGATGGATTTCCAACCCGAAATATAGAAACGCTTTCCAATGCCGAATTGGACGGGTATCGTAAGGGCCAAACAGACCAAATCGCCAACGAAGATGCCGGGAAGAAGCTCCCAGCTGCCAAAGTCTAGGCTTGGGAAGCACATGGGTAAAATCATACTGATAAAAAATACGGGAATAGCGAACGACAGAGACAACTTGAAGGCTCTGCGCCACTCGTTGATCTCTCTGGTCTTGGCCAAAGACTCGAGCTGGGCGTTGTTGTCGTCGTTGTCGGACACAAGGGCGTTGAGGCCCTCGGCTTCGACAGCCTCGACGATTCCACGCAGGCCGATCAGACTGGCCTGATGCGTGACCGTCAATCTGGAGGTAGCCAAGCTGAGCTTAGCAGAGTTGATACCAGTGATGGTGAGAAGCTTTGCCTCCAGGGCCATGGCGGCTGTGGCATCTGGGTTGCCGTAAATCTTGAATTGGGCGGTAGAGTTTCCTCCTGCACCATTTGCTGACGTCTCGAAAGCAGTCGACAGAATCTCAGCACCGAAACCACGGTCCTCGATGATCTCAGCGATCTTCTCCGCTGGAAGCTTTGTTGTGTCGTGGGTAATGACGGCGCGCTCAGCCAACAGGCTGATGTTGAAACGCAAAACACCTTCCACCTCCTTGAATCCGCCCTCAACCGCAGATGTACAGGCGCCACAAGTCATGCCCTCAATTGCGACTGTGGTAGTGGCGACGGAACTCGTGGGATTGCTGCTGGCTCTGGGCTTTTCTTGTGCGCTTTCGCTGTCCACAATCTCGGCGCCAAAGCCTCGATCCTCGATAATTTCCGCAATTTTCTCGGCGCTGAGCAGTGTAGGGTCATGCTCAATGACGGCTCTTTCGGAGAGCAGGGATATGCTGAAGTTCTTTACGCCCGGTATGTCTTTGAACCCTCCTTCGACAGCTGATGTGCATGCGCCGCACGTCATTCCCTCTATGGCGACGGTTGTTGTCATCAACCCGCTGTCCTCCTCGGCATCAAACAGATCTTGCTTTGCTGGGAACATTGGTGATGGTAGATCGGTGGATAATACTTCGGCGTCGAATCCTCGGTCTTCAATAATCTCGGCAATCTGCTCGGCTGAGATGACTTCGGGGTTGTGCATTACTACTGCTCGCTCCATGACCAGGGCAACAGAAACGCTTCCTACACCCTCTACACCTCTGAAGCCCGATTCTACTGCTGAAGTGCATGCGCCACATCTGTTGAAACTGGGTAAGCATATCGAAGCGGGAGCACGCCGCAACAGAGCGCAACTCACGTCATGCCGCCAACCTTGAGGGTCGTCGTCGCCCACTGGGTTGCTGTTGGTGTAGCAAGAGTGGCCATGGGACCACTCTCGCTCTTCCTCGGGACTCTGATAGCCGGAGGAGCCATGGTGTCGGCTTGTCTCTGAAAGGTTTGCGCTCAGGAAGCGGGCGCGGTGTGAGTATAGGGCCAGCCTCGGTCTCTGATTATGCTTCGGTTCCGGGACGTTTTCCACAGCCTATCTAGCACCAATCTTCATAATACGGCTAGCTGTCCATAGAGAGGTTGGAGAGTCTTTTCGGGAGGTTGTTCGAAGACGGGATCGGAGTCGAGACGAAGCGAGGACTCGAGATAAAGCTGGAAGAGAGAGACTTTCGGGAAATGCTCCAGAAGACCGGCTTCCGAGTACTATGTACGGATACTGAAAAGGTGGGTATCGTGGTGTTTGAGTGTACGAGTCTACGTGTGCGCGTGTGCGTACGGAGCGTATGTTGGTGCGTAAAAGTAAGTGTACGTACGAGAGTAGAGGTAGCGCGCAAAAGAGAGGCCGGGTTAAGGTAGGATTAAGAATCAAGTGCCCGGGAGGCTAGAAGAAGAACGGCGGCAATCAATGGCACGATGGGCAGAATACCTAGAAGGCGAGAGAGAGGCTTGGGGGGGTACGGAAGCGGAAGGTCGGCTTTTGTCAGCCAAAGTTTCGTGGACCGGCAGGAATGGGACTGAAGGTCCGCCGCCCATGGGACTGATGGGAGTGGGAGGAGTGGGAATTGGATGTCCACACCAGGATGCAATGCAGCGGCAGTACAGCGGCCAGTGAAGCAAAGTTACAAACCAGCATCAGCACTGCTTGACTAGGGGGGCAGTACTTTGCAAGTTGTAACAAAAGTAAGGTAAAGCAAGGTATCCGTAAGGTAAGGTAGGTGAGGTGGGCTGCAGGGCCAGGAGAAGAAGACGGAACAGTGGCGTGTGGGTGCGCGCGGTGTAGCCGGGATCTAAGGTAATCATCTGGCGCAATCGTGGGACTGGCAACCAGGGGTGTGTGTGAGGGAAGTGGCCCCAGTGGCCCGAAGGGGGTGTGCGCACTGCGCTCGCTGCTGGTGCGTCTGACTGTCTGTGTGTGTTGTGTGTGAGTGGACACACCTGGAACGGAACATTGAACAATTCCTGGGAGCAATTGCGACTCCAACTGCAAAACTACAACGTTCTCAGCGCCAATCTCCATGACAGAACTGTTTAGGTAGTGCTGCCATATTCCATATTTCATGACTGGCAACGGCTGCATTCGTTTTGGGGCTCGTGCGGTTAGGTCCCTCTATTGCTTTTTGCAGTTAGAACCCCGGCAACAAGACCTTTGCCCCTGCTCTTATCCTGATCTACCTTAGGCCGTTGTTAATTGTTTTCCAGTGACGCCTCCTGAGCCCTGAGTCTCATTCTTTTGCGTTGCTCCCAAGCTTCACCCCTAACGAAGGTTATTGAGTATCTCATGGGCTACACCAAAACCGTCACCCGGCGCCGCAAGTCTTTGCATCATTGCCACGAGTCGACCCTGAAGAATGAGACACACAAGAGCAAGAGCTACACTGCAAAAGAAGGACGGCACATGTATCGATAGTATTGTGTCGACGACTCGACGGGCGTGGCCGAAGTGACCAACGAGATTCGCACGGGTGATCCCAGCCCGCACTGCAGCTTTCGGTGCTCGGGCGCCACACCTGGGCCGGGTCCCCTCCCACTTCTCTCCTTCCCATCTCCTTTTGACCACCTTGCGCTCTTGGTCTATTTCTGGGCCAAAAAGAGATCAGTGGGGGGATCGCGAGAACCTCGCACTAATCTCGACTTGTCCAGATAAACCAATATCTACCCGCTCCTTGTCTGGCGCACCGCCTTCCTTTGCAGTACGAATCTGTCAGATGTCACATCGCTCAAAAGTCCCATTTACTGCCCATCATCCACGAGGACTTGAAGACCTCTTTGCGGATAGGTGTACAACTACGGATACCATTCCTTGACCGGTGAGACATCGAGTCAGGGCTAGGTCCGGCTGTGCATTTTCTACAGAAAGACTATTCATGGCACTTGCCGGGGCAGCACGTAAGACTGACTGGGCTGACTGGCTTCAACTGACTGGACTTGGGTAAGCTGAGCTGATGGGTGCCAGAAATCATTGCCACGCTCCGTCGCTCACTACAACCTTCGTATCTATTGGCACACGTACGCAAACACACCCCTCGCTTTTCCTCATCCAGGGGAGGAAGAAGCGCTTGCACTTCGGCTGCGAGGAACGGAACACGACGACGCACCTGAGTCCTGAGCTTGGCTCACGAAACATTCGGGGGGGCACGGTCACTTGAGGCAGTTTTTTAGGGTCCAAGGGGACTCCTGGGTTCGGATTGAGCTTCAGCCTCAGACCAGTCTAGCACTCTGGGTGACTGGCTTGCCAGAAACCAGTCCATCCTAACTCTCTATTGGATGGTTAAGATCCGGCGCGTCTCGGGGTGGGAATTGTGGGCGCTATGCTTCATGCTCCTGAGAGCCGTGTTCCGTGTCTCTTCAACTGAGCACACGAGAATGCAAATTAACGAGACTGAACAGCGATGATGGCAGCATATGATTGATTTGTCGTTCTGATCTTTAGCCCTCTGAACCAACCTGTGTCTTCGAGTTCGTGTTGTACTCGGTATCGGTCTGTCGTTCGTAAGACCCGACTCGACTCGCACCATGACTTTATTTTGAGTTTCCGACGGACCGACCAAACAATTCTGTCAACTTCTCTCTTCCAGACCGCCGGCAACAAACCCTGGTATCCGTTCCGATGTCAACAATTAAAAAATTTTCGCGTTGATATCGATAACATACGATGGTCGCTTCTGAAGAGGGGGATTATGACGCTGATTTGACTTACTACATGTGCCAAGCTCCAATGTAAGCTGCACCATATCTGCAATGTATTCAAGATCCTTCAAAACCACCCGGATGTGGAAGGTAAAATGTCATCCAAGAACTCTGCAGCACAAGTAGAAGAATGATGGCATGCGGTACGGATGCAAATTGATCTTCGGGAGATTTTCGCAACAAAACCTAGTTCCTTGCAAGATCACATCGCCAAGCTCCGGCTCGAACTTCCCACATTTGCTTCTCCAAGCCGTTTTAGCTTCAGACCAATTCACGAGGAAACGATCATTGCCAGTCTCAGCCCCCTCGCCGTATGGCTGTTGGTCAACGGGAAGGAGACAAAGAGACCAGTTACCTGCCATGCTCCTTTTTGTACAACCTCAAGTGAGACCCCTGGAGAGAATGCAGAAGAGCTTCCATTCCAATTCCCGTCAGCGGCCCGGCTGGTGCGGAATGCTCCATCCGGCCTTGACTTAAGGTGTGCTTCGAAAATGCTTGCCTTAGGTAAGGTTAGATACTGAGATTAAGACGTTAGGTAAGGTAAGTTAATGGAGGTAAGATGTGTCGACCCCACCAGCACCCTGCCAGGTGCCCCAAACTGCTCTGCCCCGCGCCACTAAGGCACCCGACCTCTGTGGCAAGCGTCCCCATTTGCTCTTGCAGCGACCCTGTCTGGACGGCACCTCAAACGGATCTGACACAAGCTTCGTCCTCAGAACGATCTCCAAAGGAAACACACCACAAACGAACCAAACCCCCTTCGCTTCCTCACACCCTTACGATTTGCCAACCTCTGACGACACGACAGAGAGGTAGCATCCTCCGAAAGCGACCTTCCTTCTCAGCCTCGTCTCGTCCGATCCCCCCAGCGAGTTGGATCAACCTACCTTCAGCCTCGTCGACCACCCCCACATCGTGCTATTGCAGCCCAGGTAGTGACGACAGCTACTCTACAGCAGTAGTACCCCACCTCGGAGCTTCGTGAACATCACAGACGAGGAGCTCTCACCATGGAGCAGACCAAAGCTCTCAATGCTCTCGAGGTAAGCCACCAGACACAATACTACGCACTCTGCTCATCTACGGATGCAAATGCTAACGACCTCCCGTAACAGCCCTTCCTGGCCCTGAGCAAGTCAGCAACATCCCCCCGCGCCGCAGCCGACCTCGTCACCCGCGCCACGTCAAACCCAAACACCTTTCTCTTCACAGAGCTCCTCGAGACACCGCAAATCCAAGCCCTCTCTCAGTCCCCCGACTTCGAATCGCACCTCCGCCTCCTCGAGCTCTTCTCCCACGGCACCTACGCCACCTATCAATCCGCAGCATCGAGCCTCCCCCAGCTCAACGATGCCCAGACCCTCAAGCTCCGCCAGCTCTCCCTCCTGACCCTGGCCCGCGACCGCTCGAACCTAACTTACGCAGCCCTCCAATCCGCCCTCGGCCTCCCCTCCACCCGCGCCCTGGAAGACCTCGTCATCTCCGCAATCTACGCCGGCCTCCTCGACGCAACCCTCGACCCCCACCGCCAAGTCGTCCAGGTAAACTCCCTCGCCGCCCTCCGCGACCTCGCCCCGGGAGCCGTCCCGCCTATGATTGCCGCCCTCCGCGCCTGGTCCAGCCGCTGCGAATCCACCCTCGGCGACCTCGAGTCCCAGATCGCAGGCATCCGCGACGCCGCCGCCCGCCGCCAGCGCGAAAAGGCCGCGCAGGACGCCCGTCTGGCCAAGCTTGTCGAGGACGTCAAGAAGGATCCCGAGACGGGGGGCGCCGGTGGTCCCGGGGGCAGGAAGCTCGCCGTCGGTCATGCACAGCACGGCGGCAGCAGTAGTGGGGAGAGGGTAGGCGGCTTCTTGGGCCACACATCTAGGGCGCAGCGGTACAACAAGCGAGGTAGCACCAGCATGATGGACAACACGGAGGAGATTGACGACGAGGCCATGGACGTGGACGAGGAGGATGACGAGCAGGAGAAGAAGCGTGCCAGCCGACGGAAGCTTTAGTGGATTGGTTGGTTGCTGGCAAGGTTGCTAGCAAAGCCGGAATTGTAGAGGACACTTCCGGCTCGTCTCGGGGACACTTCTCCTGGCGTTACACTTGGGGAGCATCGGCCAGAGACCTCGTTGAAGGCTCGGTGGCACTTGATAGACGGTCAGAACGTGGCATGAGATAATGGCTGAAGGGAAGGCAGCCGAAAAGTAGCACAGGCATTATCACGATACATCATGAGAACTCAATAAATACAGTCAATATCGAATTCGATAATACTAACAGAGATTAATCTCTGCCGTTTCCTGTTCTGTGATGCCTATCTAGCGTGCCATTGATAAGATGTTAAGGGAATGTAGAAAGTGAATGAATGTGTCGAAGCCAAAAGTCTCCTATCGCCTCTCCTCGGCATCTTCCCCTGCTGCCTCGCAGTTTCACCTGCCTTTTGGCACAAGGATTCCAGTGTCGATTCTCGCAATGTCGATAATGATACACCAATGCCTTGTGTACATTGAAAAGAAATTAAATCTGTCCCTTGTTGAACGCCGTGTGCGAGGCTATGTCCCCTTGGGGGCCTCGACTTTCCCTACGCCATGCCTCTCTGGTATCCTGAATGGAAGACCGAATCAAAACCGAAAATTTGGGAAACTCTGTCGCTCAAAATCCTGAGGGTCGTAACGTTCGTAAAGCTCTCTCTTTGGGAGACAAAGCGTCCATATTATTACATCTGTGATGTGGTATGGGACCGCATTGTTGTTGTGTTTGGGGTATTGCACCACATCCTTTGTTTGTGGTCCCGGGCAGAACAAGGCATTTTACAGCCGTTTGCCAGGGACAAGGATGAAGAGCACACAGAGCGCGGCGTCGATTAAGAATGTGACGGCGAGGACCATGATAGACCGCTTAGCAAGGAGCTTACGAACGTACGGCTCACGAATTCGAGAGAAGTTGAACGGCGTGTACTCGCTGAGGCCGATGAGAGCGAGAACAGGATCCAGAGAGTACTGGTATGATGCGAGGAAGTAGACACCGACGGTAAATGGAAGGATGAGCTGAAAGATAAGTTAGCAGGAGCGTATTAGATATGAGATCATGAAGAGACTCACCCAGCATCTGGTAGTTCGGGGGGCATTGAGGAAGATGAGGATGAAAGCGGCCCAGAAGCCACCAAACATGGCCAGAAGACCGACAATCATTCTGATCTGGAGAGTGGTCGGGATGAGGTTGCCAAGGGCCTTCATTCTCAAGAAGTTGGGGAAGGCATCGCGTTCCATAGCCTGAAAGACGTAATCCTTGGCAACGTCAAACACCTCTGGATCGTCTCTACCAAAGTCCTCAATGGAAGTCGTGACGTCCTGAGTAATGGAACCCGGAAGAATGATCTCACGCTCTGCGCCCGGAAGGAGGAAGGTGTAGAGGATCTTCTCCGCCGAAGCCCGGATGTCCTGTCTCGCGACGGTGTGTGCGGGAGAGTTGGAATCCGTCGTCAGGTCGCGCGTGGTGCTGAAAGCCCCACTGGGACGGCTGCGATGCTCTCCGGTGCTGCTTTGAGGGGAGTCTTGGGCCTCTTCTCTCAGGTAGGCCGACATCTGGGCATCCTGGTTCTTTTCCTTCTCAGTGGCATACATCGATGGGCCAGCGGCAGAATGGCTCATGTCACCAAGTCCATCCAAGATCTGAGAAGACCGCTTGGAGCCCGACTTGTCCAAGTCGGGTGTTCCAACCAGGACGGATCTGCGAAGTTCGCGCACGTAGTGGCGACACAGAGACATGTGCTGAGCGACATCGAGCCTATCCTTCGTTAGTGAACAGACGCGTAATTTTGGGAGGCCGTCTGCAATACCAGAAATCGAGATAATCGACGGATTTTTGCTGATCTCTCATGAAAATATAGAACGAGAAGAGGTCGACTGGCGGCAGGGTTCGACGACTCAAGACCTCAAACAGAGTCGGCAATCGGTTCCGGTGCAGGTCTGGCTGAGGAGAAGGCGAGCCGGAGGCCCCAGTTGATCGGTCCTCCATGATATCGAGCGACTTGATTTCGCGAGAAAAATCGGTAGACGGAATCGGAATTATGTAGTGATTGATGAAGGGAAATCGGACAAGAAGGAAACGGCGGCCGACAGAGTCGCTGTCGTCGGGTGATGCGAAGTCGAAGTTTGGTCGTCGGAGAAGCGCGGTACGGATATCGTAAATGAGGTTTGGCAGTTGCTGCACTCCGCAAAGGATCGGTCGTAGCGCGGCTGTCTACTCGTCGGTTGCTAGGCTTCCCCCAGGTCGGTTTGTGTATTGAACGAGCGTAAGAAGGAAAGGATCGCGCACGGCGCAAACTGACAGCGTCAGTGTGATTGACGATGGCGCTGCAGGGCGTGATGGCTTGAGTCTTGGACGCCGTTGGGATACGGCATAACAGCAGATCAAGCAAGCACTCAGACCCAGACACTAATTTCGTTCAGGTTGTCTGGTCAGGGGGGATACGACCCACTTGTACGTACTTTCCTCCGAAAAAGCGCGCTTTCCCACTGTCAGTGTGATCCCACCCACACACGAGTCCACTTTACTGCAGCGCCTTAGCTTCTCAGGCACTCAGACGTTTTCTTGAGCAACGTCACGTGTCCTATCTCACGAAAAGAGGGACAGGTGGAAAGAAACGCCGCATTACCTCAGCTACCCAGCCACAAGCACAAGCCCCGCCTCAGCCACCGAAAAGCAGGTAGGGCTTGCAATTTCTCGCTTCACATTTTGTGGGATGACCTGCCGGACTACGCAAAACCATCACATCGACAACTTCTTAGACAATTCGACTCCGCGATCCCGACGACCGAACCGCCCAACGAGAGGTACCGCCAAAATGTCGACCAAGCAGAAGAAGCCCGCCGGAAAGCAGCGTTCCGCCATCGCTGATGTCGTCGCTCGCGAGTACACCGTCCACATGCACAAGCGCGTTAGTATTCCCCGAGGAGAGAAGAAAAAAAAGGACGCCGCCGTCGAATAGCGAATTCAATGGCCCGCGATGGTGATCCGGTAGCATAGCATAGCAATGCTGACCATTTTCGCTCTGTAGCTCCACGGCGTTTCCTTCAAGAAGCGCGCTCCCCGTGCCATCAAGGAGATCAAGGCTTTCGCTCTCCAGGCTATGGTACGTCTTGCTTGTCCCTCTCGAACCCATCCCGAAATTTTGCATCCAAGGCCCGACAACATCTAAACACCCATTGGCCCTATATCGAACAACATCAGATAGACCGATACACCAGAAGAATGTTCACTAACCTCGTGATTATTCACATAGGGTACCTCCGACGTCCGCGTTGACCCCCAGCTGAACAAGAAGGTTTGGGAGCAGGGCATTAAGGGCGTTCCCTACAGACTCCGCATCCGCATCTCCCGCAGACGAAACGACGAGGAGGGTGCCAAGGAGAAGCTGTACAGCTACGTCCAGGCCGTCAACGTCAAGAACCCCAAGGGTCTCCAGACTGTTGTCGTTGAGGAGTAAAAAGTTCTCTTTGGGATGGTTTCAGGGCGGCATAAAGGCATCGGAGTTGCATTCGGCATTCTAGTCTCACATACAAAATCGACGGAAATGTGAACAACGCTTGATTCCCCACACGACTTCGACGACTTTTTACTAGTATTGGACCCCGCGATGTGGTGGAATGTTATTTTTTGTCTGCGCCAAAGTGCGCGCGAAGGAAGCGTTGCGTATGTGTCAGGCAAATGGTGAACGATGACGAAGGCTTTTTGGGACATCAACAATCTCTTGTGGTTCATGTAACACACATCGTCCAACAGGGTCTTCTTTTTTTATCGTCTTGGTCGCGGTCTGCCAGAAGCAGATGAACAGGATATACCCAATCCTCAAGGCCAAGTCCCGACCATGCAATGCAGTCCAATTCCTAACAAAAAGAGTTCCAAAAACCACCGGCCCGTAATCATACATGATAGACTCCAATTCTCCAGTGCTCGAAACAATGTTTTCTCATCCTCGTGTCATCCACAAGCAAGTCCGCGCTCACTCGTCCTCAACATCGCGGTGACGAGCGAGGACCTTACGCTTGAACTCTTCGGGGTCCTTGTCCCACAACTCTGCGGCCTCACCGTTGAGAGGAGAGGCACTGTATCCATATTAGCACTGTCAGACGAACCACTTTTTGCCGGGGCAACTCACTTGTTTGGCTCGCCCAGCAGACTCTGCAAACTGAGGAGTACAGTTTGAATGTTGTAGGCGGGTGTCCACTTGTCCTTGAGGATATCCAAGCAGATGCGGCCAGAGAAGTCGAAGTTAGGGTGGTAGATGGGCGTCGTGAAGAGCACCGTTGGTGCAGCGTAGGGGTAGTTGTTGGGGAACGACAAGCTGAGCTTGAGCGTCAGGCCGGCGTAGGGAGTTTGTTCGGGTCCCTCAATCGTCGCTGTCCATGACATGAGGTTGCCGTCTGCCGAAGGGAATGCTGAGACGCCGGGAGCGGGAGAAGTCATAAGCTGCATCAATTCTGTCTGCAATCTGTAGTCCTGAGATGAGTCCTTCTGGTCGTAGATGAGACGGCAACATCTTGCAACGAGATATTCATACCTCTTGGTGACGCTCTGAGCGTCAGGTCCCTTCCTGGCGCCAGCAATCTTAGCTGCTGGAACGCTTCCGGGAGCGGAGTTCTGGGTGTCCTCCATGCTGTAGTCCATTGTCGCAAAGGTCGTGGGATGGAAAGAAGTAATCGCAAAGAGTACTGGTCGAGGCGAAGGGGGCGTCTTGAGGCTGGGAGGCTGGGATAACAACTGGGATGAAGCAGGTAGGTGTTTGCTAAGGTAAGGTGATATCCGGCCAGCCAGTACTTATGTGCAGGGAAATGCAATGTGCGGGAAGATGATCAAGGGGAGAGGTTGGAAGCTTGCAGCGTCAACAACAGAAGGCAATTGTTCCGTAGGGCGGGAAGGGCAGGGATGGGGAATCGGAGACGCTGGTACCTGGGCGACGCGCTGACTTTGGCACACGCTTTTGGACTAGCGTCGTCGCTGCCGTTACCAAGGTCAACGGCGAGTACGAACCAAAGACCTCGCCTTACATCTTAATTTGAGCCTTAATCGCACCTTTTTTTGCCCCAATTCCCAGACGTTCAATGAGGTAATAATTTCCTCTGGATCAACCATGGCTTGTGGAAGGTTTCTGTTCTCCAAGAGCGGATTGAACATGCGTTTTCAATGAGGTATGTACTTCGCGATTGGCCGTCTGTGATTTACTGAATCGCTGGTCACCTTGTGATACCTAGTGACTTGGGCAGAGGCCACGGTGCTGCAGTTTGAGGGCTCGTTCGCTACCTCAATCCTACATAGTTGGACGATTTTCCCACTGAGCAATAAATGTGTCCAACCAAAGGAAAGTATCATACACTTATACACAAATTTATAGCAAATGATATGTTTAATTAGGAGCTACTACGAACGCCTGAACTGCAAAGTTGTAGTACAGAGCCTGTACTTTGTGTCAATGGGTAGAACCTCTTCAGTGGCTAGGTCTTGAGTAGGTACTTAGCGTCCATGCCCTTCCTTGGTATCAAATCTCGG